TCATAACAGAGAATACTCTTTCTGTAAATGCTGAAGTGGCCGGAACGGACAGCAAAAGTGACACTATTTTGAACAGATTTGGGAAATCAGGTTGTTCCGTAAATATAGCTTGTCATTTTTCTGTGCAATATTATTGATGTAAAAATACTCTACATTTCGAATAATCGCTTACAAAATTATGATGTTTACTTAAGGCCTTAAATAAAGTATTTTTGCGTACTTTATGTGTCTTGTAAAGTATAACGTACGCATAGTCGAAATAGAGTACAATACTTTATAATAAAGTACGGGTGGCAACCCTAGATAGGGCCATAGCAGTTAAAAATGTCTTTCAAATACAGAACCTATTTTAAACGAATACGAAGAAATTGATGCAAAAATAATACGAATGTACAGCGTGCACTTCTATTCTTGTAGAAAGGCACGACTTGAATAAACCATCGTCGGCAGTTGATTCCAAGAATACGCAACCAGGATTAGGTATATATAGCAGTTTAATTCAGTTGCCTAGTGTATCTTTGTTTTGTTTTAGCGGAGATTTTGAAAATTGGATAGAATTTCGGGATGCATTTAGCTCGCTGCTTCTAGTAATAATGTGTTAAGTAAAATTTAAAAATTTTACTATTTAATTTTCTGCTTAAAAGGAGATGCGGCACAAGCCATTAAGTCATTAATAATTTCATCTGAATGGGACATTTTGTGCGAACGATTCGAAAATATGAAACATATAATAAAAAGCAATATTAAGGCACTCTTTAATTTAGAGTTTTTAAAGAATCGTTTCATTACATTTCGTAGATAATATATCAAAAATAATGCAATCTGTAATTTATTACTTATTTACGTTGTTAGCACAAATTTAACACAAAGTACTCGATTTGAGTGGGAATTGTTTAAACATGAAAGTGAATTTCCGCAGTTTAGTGAATTCATTGACATTTTAGAAAAACGGTGCAACTTTTTAGCGTCAATAGAGATAACAGTAGACTTCATAGATTTAAGCTGTAAAAGTAATCATACCCTTCTAATAAATAAAAATGAAAAAAATTAAAATGTACTCAGTTCTGAAAAGTGAAGATGGTGAACTAGGACCGAAAGAAGTAAAAACATCCCACAATCTCAAAAATTCAAGACTAAGGCAAAAAACTATGTAACATTAGGTTGCACTGTCTTTGGTTTTTACGTTACGACCATTTTAAGGAAAATTGTATAGTATTTATTACCCAAATAGAGTAAACACTTACCTATTAAAAACAAAATGATGCATTTAAAAAATTGTTTAAATACTAAGAAAAATTTGTATACATAGACCTGTAACTGTTAATAATTTTTGTAAATAAATTGAGTTAAATACATTCTTCAGAATATATTTTTTATTACTATGCTAGTAAATACAATACATATACTTAAGCAAAATAATCCCTATTTTGGCAGCAGCAATGTCTTCAGTCAATACCACATATTGTATGTTTTCAATAAACAATATAAAAGTGAGTATGTAATTTTAGAAATCACTTACAAACTACAAGCATAGCGAACGAATATATTTCTAATGTATGTATTATGAGTGATCTATTCTGTGTTAACTTTGCAACCTGTTCTAAGTGATATCATCAATGTAAGAAATTTTAAGTAAAAAAAGAAATTGTAATACTAAATGATTAATAAATTTTTCTACATTTTTACTTGTGCTTGATGGCTTTTTTTGGTTTGCCTGTGTGTTGAACTGGTATAGCTCGTGGCATATTACCATCAGCAGGTATCTTTGGTGCAGTAATGGTCAAAACACCATCTGAGGATATGTGCGACTGTAAATGGTTTAGATCGTGATCTTCTGGGAGAACATACTTCCTCACGAAGTGCCTTGAAATTGATCCATGTTCATCAGGTTTTTCTTCATGTTTACCTTCGACGGTCAGCGTGTTTCCAGATGATGTGACTTTAATTTCATCAGGCAAGAAGTGTTGGACATCAACATTCACTTCAAATTTGTCTTTGTCCTCCTTGATAGTGGACGCAGCATCTGTATGTGGAGGGGTGTCCCAGCTGTAGGATCTCTCCCACGGAGCGATTGTTAGAGGGTCCAGAAAAGTTTCATGACCTAAACGAAGACCAAAATATGGATCAAGTGCTCTTGATGGACCAGATGTATGCCAAGGTATCAATGGTGATGGTCTCCTCGATCTTTCATGCCATGGTGCACGTGTTTCCCATGGTGGTAGTGTTACAGGATCCAAAAATTTCTCATTCAAACGAAGACCAAAATATGGATCTAAAAGGGCTCTCGATGGACCAGATGTATGCCAAGGTATTAACGACATTTTAGTTTGTATGTAAGAAAATAATTCTTATCTCACGTTTAAAATTAACAAACACGCTTGTTACTATTCGTTTTTAACAAATTATTATTTTTGCCCATTCGAACGGTTTCAACGACTTCGCACTTATGAACCGCTTGTCGATTGCCGGCTTTTATATGTTTCAGTGGGAACAAGTATAATGTTCAGAAGAATTCTGCGCCTATCCACTAAAATTCTTATTGATCGAGCCACGCACTGGTTACATGTACAAGAATACCAGTGTTTATATGTACATAGGGTAATTGTAGTCAGCCTTTTAATTGGTAATGAAGCTGACGAAGTTTTATCACTATTGTACGATTTTTTAGGTATCTCAATTACAGTATAGGTACCCAAAGAATGTACTTTTTTAATTTGTACTAGTCGTTTAAATAACAAAATGATGAATATTTTAAAATAATTCGAATTACATAAAATTCATACAAATACAAACTGGGTACATTTTAAATGATACCAAGTGGGATACAAATCACAGCCGATATTTTTCTTTTAATCATCTTCCGTATCACTATAGAGATTGTCATTGCACATTCCACATTTTTCCTTATTTCATTATAGCCATTTCGTAAAACCCGCTTCTTCTTTGTCGTTACTTTTTTACGATTTGTGCTTTCCGCATTTCTTTTCCTATTTGCCTTTTTTAATTCTTTTTCTTGTCTCTGATTTTCTTTTTGGTCTTTTAGAAGGAGCCATGGTAGACGTAGACTATACACAATACTAATAAAGAAATTAAGTAACAAAGACGCGTTCTGATTTATAACAAATCGAAAAATTTTAGTTTAAACGAAATAGTATCACAGAATGAAAAACTTATATGAGCTTTTTCGGATAGGCAAATATGGTTGAAATTTATCATATGCCCAGTAATTAGGTTGAGTACTAGTTTTCCTGTATTTGTTTTTTCCAGTACTCGACTAACCCTTAAAAAGAAATCTATGGAAGTTGCAATGCGATTATTGCATCAGAAATAACATCATTTAAATGTTATTAATCTACATATATTCAACTTTGCATTGAATAAAACTTGACCTAGACATTTGTAGGTACACACTATTTTCTGTGATCACCGACGGTACCAAAAAACCCAAATTTACTTACCAAAGTTCAGCCTGGAAACATCCACCACTGTCACATTTTATGTGGTTCATAAATTTATCGTTAAATAGATAAAACTTAATTAAATGTATGCTGGAGGGCATCTGAATACTTATACAGGGAAATCACAAAATTTATGTCTACGCTCTTTTATTCTCAAGCAATTTAACTGACTACTAGGTAGAGGTCGAACTTTGGCATGTTTACCCTATTCATACGGTGTTCATATGGTTAAAAAAGTTTTATTAAAACTCTTTGAAACATTCAAAAAGCTATTGTTTCTTTTATTTCACTTATAATTATATTATTATTAAAACGTTTCATAGTTACATAATCGTTCAAATATATGATACTTATACGTAAATTAGTTTCAACTTATAACGACTGCTAGTAAATCATCAGCACTGCGTTAAAGTATCAAATAATTGAAAAATATTTATTTCATAAGCGAAACAATTACAAGAAATCAATACATCAGAAATATTTACAAATTACGCTGTTGAAAAATATGCATCAAATATAACGAAAATCAATCGCTTACGATTATTAAAAAGTACAACCTATTGATATCACTAATGCAGGAAAAAATTACTTGAAACTGATTGCTCTTTTTGGTTTTCCTGTATGTTGAATTGGTATACTTCTTGCCGCATTACCATCATCGGGTACCTTTGGTGCAATAATGGTCAAAACACCATCAGATGATAAGTGCGATTGTACCTGACTTAAGTCGTGATCTTCTGGAAGGGCATACCTTCTCACAAAGTGACGCGAAATGTATCCGTGTTCGTCAGGTTTTTCTTCGTGTTTACCTTCAACGGTCAGTGTGTTTCCGGATGATGTAACTTTAATTTCTTCAGGCTTGAAGTGTTGGACATCGATGTCCAGCTGGAATCTGTCTTTGTCCTCTTTTATGGTGGATCCCAGTAGCGGTGTTAGGGTAGGGCGCGGTTGGGCGATCGCCCAGGGCGCCGGACAAAAGGGGCGCCGCAGGCGCCCTCCACCTCATTCTCAAAATTAAGCGGACGGAAGCCCTAAATTAAGTGGATTTTTTTTATGTTGGCAACACTTGAACGGAACGTAATCCGTTCGATCGGAGTTTATTTTACAGGGAATCCCCAATCAAAGAAAAACACATTGTCTATCTCCTTTTTGCCCGATCAAAATGTGGTTACACCTATTTTTGTTTTAAATTTCATCAAAGATCGCTACTTACAAGAACTGTATCCAAATGTATGGATAGCATTGCGAATATTACTGACTATACCTGTAACGGTTGCTAGCGGGGAGCGGAGTTTTTCAAAGCTGAAGCTGATAAAAACCTATCTTCGATCAACAATATCTCAATCTAGATTGACAAACTTAGCAACTTTGTCAATTGAAAACGAAATTGCTGAAAACATAGACTTTGATAACCTTATAAAAGAGCTTGCTGATAGAAAGGCCAGAAAAGTAAAATTTTATTAGTTTGTTTCTAATAAATGGTTATTTTTTATAATAAATAATTATTTGTTTTAATAAATGGTTATTTCATTATATGCTTTCCCTTTTTTCCTATGGGTTTGAATTGTAGTTGGAGGGCGCCGTAGAAATCTCGCCCAGGGCGCTGGTAATGGTAAAACCGGCACTGGTGGATCCAGTATCTGTAGGTAGCAGAGATTCCCAATTGTAATAAGATCGCAGCGGCCATCTTCTGTGCCACGGTGCCCGTGTTTCCCATGGTGCCAGTGTTAAAGGAGCCAAAAGATCATCATCATCCAAACGGAGGCCAAAATATGGATCTAGAGCTCTTGATGGAGCAGTTGTATGCCAAGGTATTAATGACATTTTAGTTTGTAATATGTACTTCTTGTTTCACGTTGGATATAAAATACACACTATTGTTGTTTTAATTAATTATTGCTTCTGCTCACTCGAAACGGATTGAACAACTTCTTAATAGTGAACGTGTTGAACCACTTGCTGATGCCGGCATTTATATATATTAGCGGGAATATTCCGGAGAATTCGTGCGCCTACTGGAATCCTTATTGATCAAAATGTGGAGGAACGTGGGGCCCCGCATTGGGTCGTTTGAACTTTCAATGTCATGTATTAGACATGTATATGTATGGTTACTAGGGGCTGGGATAGTTATTTTTTTGAATTTTCATTCTCTCAGGGGCTTAAATGCATTGAAATTGTTCGAGTCATATTCATCAAAATTCAGTTTCTTTTAATGTCTACTTTTTTCATATAATAGATTCTTTCAGAATCAAAATCTTTTGTTTTTTTCGAGAAGGATTTCTTTTGTGAAACGAACGTTTCAATTAGGGTTTACTGTTAGTTAAAATTTGAAGGATGACAATAACATAGCCCACCGTACAGTTAAATTGATGGAATACCATTATAGCAACAGCAGTTTATAGCACAATAATCAGAATTATATTCATTCTTGCTAAAGCTGAGTTATTAAAAATGTGAAAATTGATTAAATAAAATTAAGAAAACATTATGCATTGTATAAAAGTAGTACTTGAAATTTTATCTTAGTATCGGGTTTTGTCTAAAGGCGTTAGCACTCAAAGCATAGGATAGATCAGTTATTCCGCGGAACGCCTACATTTTGACCTCTGACTATAATAATATTATATGTATAGGTAGAGTTTGCTATTTTAGGAATACAAGTCAGTAGCTTATAATAGATGCTGTGAATAATTTCATTAATTTTCATAACAGTTCAATATGTGCAAAATTGGTAATGAAACTCTCTTAGCCTATTTCAGTAAGTTCAGGTAGGAAGTTATTATTTTTGGAGATGTATGTATAAACTATTTACATATATGGAGTGGTTAATAAAATACGTCACTCAAAATTTCACCTTTTTAGACCCTTCCCACCCCCTTGGTCACACTTTCAGTGACGCCCCTACTTCACAACAAGCCAATCCGACCCCCCTATACATGATTTCATGTGATTAAAAAGAGCAATGACAATGATTTTCTTTCGTGATGAAAAATTTTAAGAATTGTCAAGTTAAGAAAAACATTAAAATAAAATTGATGAAATGCAAACGTCACATTTACATAGACCCCCCTTCCCCTTGTCATATTTCGTCACGCTAAACAATACTCTTCCCTACCCCTTATTTGCGAACATATTTTATGATCACCCCTATTATGTAATATGTACCTCATATATAATTAAAATATCTGACGAATTAAATTAACACAATATGCAAAATATAAGTAAAAAAACAACTATTTATTTTGTATTAGGCATTTCAATTGTACATACATATATGTATAGTTAGATATTGTTTTCAAAACGTTAAAGCAAACCGTAACGAGATAGTAAGTTTTATTTTTGAAGTTGAAATCATCATATACACTAACTCACAGTTGTTCAAAATTTCATATCTGAAAATTCTTATCAAGAAAAAACATTACGTTTTTAATTCATGTAAGTGTGTGGTTGTTATTTTAAATCATATTTAACATTCTCCGAATTATTAGAAAATTTCTAGGTATTTCACATTTATGAAATTTGACAAAATCTATTACACTATTACAATTTACCCATGTCTAAATCACAGATTATATTGTAAGGCACAAATTTGAAGCTGACAATTGACAATAAAACATAAAAAAAATGCATAGGTATTACATTAGATAACAATAAATTACCGATACGTATTTTTTTTCATCTGGTTTAACTTCTTACTGTGGTTGCTGTTGTGGCTCACTCGGTGAAATTTCAACTGGCGTATTAGGTTCTTGTGCAATTGGGATTATTCTTTCTCCTTGAACTGGTGGAGGTTGACTTGGCACAACTTCCTGTTTCTTTTGTTCAGGAACGTTTTCAACATTTTTATAAACCGCTGGTTGGCTAACCTCTTCTCTTTTGCTTTCCATGGGTTTGCTGGGTTGTCCAGTTTGTGTAATCGGAATAGAGGTCACTCCCTGGCCGCCGATAGCCTTCTTGGGGGCTGTAATGGTCAAAACACCATCAGACGATAACGTAGACTGCACTTGATTTAAATCATGATCGTTTGGAACATCGTATTTCCTCACAAAGTGTCTGAAGATAAAACCGTGTTCGTCTGGTTTTTCTTCGTGTTTTCCTTCGATAACAACGGTGTTTCCGGAAGTTTTTACGCTTATTTCATCAGGTTTAAAATGCTGAACATCAACACTCACTTGAAACTTGTCTTTATCCGATACGATTGGACTAACATCTCGAATTGGAGCTTGCCACGGATTTAGGTAAAGATTTCTTTGAAAGGGAACGGTTAACGCTAGTAGATCATCAGGATCAAGCCCGAAACCACGATTATAGACACGTGAAGATCGAAATGGGTCCCAGTAGTATAATGACATTGTTGTTGATATAATGTAAATGCAACGATAGATAATATTAAGACAGGAACTACTGTTTAGGCACTTAATACTTAGGTCACTTTTTCGAGAAATATTAGAGGATACGCGTTAAACTCTTTATATATTTTATGTTTCGGGATACGTATATTATAAACAGGGAACGTTTTATGTAATTATAGATTTTGCAGGCGAGCCAGCTGGCACGTATACAACAACAGTAACGTTTCTGGAATAAATTCATCAGATCCTGTCACTTGGCAGTAGCTTGCAACATAACAGGATATGTAGTATATTATTTGTATCAATTGCATATTTTGGGGCAGTTTAATGCCTTTTTTTTATAATTTAGTGCCTTAATTCATGATTCATCATAGATGCATAATTATAAATACATAAATAAACGCTGAGGTCTACGGCAGTTTGGCAGTAAGATTAAATTGTTGAGAAAAGCTAGATAAAATTAAAGAAATTAATTATAAGCAATTATTATGTTAAACGTCGCTTAAAAACGAGTCAATATTTGCAATTTTTAATGATATCTGTACCTAAAACAAAACAGGGAACTTATCTCTAATCTCTAAAGCAGCGAGATATATATGTGTATGTACGTCAAAATGGGTAAAAGAAAAGCATAGCGAGTTCAAGGAATCCCAGAATAGAAGAAAATTGCCTAATTGTAAGTAACAATTTTACTGTGAGTGACGAGATAATTAAGAAAACAGTAAAACAAATTGATTCACAAATAAATGAAGATGATAAACAATTTCAAGGCCAGCGATGGATTCGGTACATATGTACCTACATATCCTTTTACGGTTTTTGGCTATTGAATGTTATTTCTATCAATTAAAAATTACTATTCAACCAACTACACCGCTGTTTTTTTTTTATAAAGTGACTAAATCCGTGGAACTACTAAAAAATTAAGATTACATAGCTAATATTTAAAAACAGATTTTATTTACATTTAAAATTAGACCATGTTCACGACTGTTGCTAAACTATTCATACGTACCTATATATTTAATTATAATAATTGTCATACTTATCAATGAAAATAAAACGATAAATACATATAAATCTGCTTAAACATGTTTTGTACATACTATAACCGGTAGTGTACCTTTTTAGCAAAAGTATTATAGAATAGATAGAAAGGTACCAAGAGGTATCATTTTTTTTTAAACATGCACCTACTAATATAAGTTCAAATCGGTACTTAAAAATTATTTACTCATTAACGGTAGGTGTTAATTAACTGTGTAAGTAGGCACCTATGTACAATAAATTCTAGTGATAAGTAACTGATAATTTATATTTTTATAAAATTATCAACAAGGCACTTTTTACTGACATAGTTTTCACACATTTTCTTTGGAGTGTACCAAAATTAAAATTTCAAAAAGTGAAAACTTAGGAGCCGTTTGGTGGACTATAGATTTCTCCAATATTCATATTATAAACAAGACACTTTTTATATCTTCTAACTAGGATTTCCCAGTACACCGGTCGCACCCTTGTGAAACTCGATTTCAATCAAATATAAATAAAGAATCCTTATACATTGAAAGAAAACTCATTTGTTTCCCAACCTTCCACACCTTCCAACTTGGGAATTGTCGAAAATGAAAGGGAAATCAATACAACCTTGGCCGCTAAAACTGTGACATTGAAAAATCACACGTGCTAAACTGGTATACAAGTATGCGCTCGGTTCGTGTAGCATTCGCGTCAATAATCTGTTAAAAGCAACATAGAAAACAGACGTAAACTGTAAACAACAATAATTTCTGTTTATACATAGAGCAAAAAAACCGTAAATAACAAATCTATTAATAGTCTATGTGTTTACTGTCTGCTATTTGTATAGGTTTGCTATAATAAATGCAGCATTTGAATTACATTGTCTGCAAGTAAATGAGCAATCCGGTATGATTACATAATGTCAGAGGTGGATCTAGGATTTTAAAAGAGGGAGTTTAGAAAAATTTATGGCTTTTTTCTCGAATTGAAATAATCTTCCAATAGACGTCTTTCTTTGATTTACTATCGTTATTTTCGTGACCATTTTTAGGGTTCCGTACCTCAAAAAAAAAACCCTTACAGGTCTTTTTCTCAGAAACGTGTGAAGGTATAACACAAGTAAAAGAAAAAATCCGAAAACCGTAAATTTACAGTTACATATAAAGGCAGTAAACAGGACATACGTAGATACCACTCTAAGATAAATTCTAGCAAAAGATCTGTAAGTAAATGTGGAATTTTAGTTTTTCTGGCCCCCTTCCCCCTCCCACGGATCCATCACTGGATAGTGTAAACAGAATATTCTGGAAACGAATAGGCACCTATCTATGCTGCATACCAAAAAATAAATTAATTTCACATTTTCTGGCAAACAAAACATGTTTTTCTTATTATTTATGTTTAGTGCAAATGCACCACGTGTATGTCATCCATATTTGTTATTAAATATTTACGATCAAACTAATAATAACCATTTATGTAGGGGATTTAAATAAAAAATATACTTACACACGTTAATACTTTTTATCATCTATCTAATCAGAGAATATAAACAAAAATAACTAAAAATAAAGTATTGTGTACGAGATTTAGATTACTAGGTACTTCGGGTGTGTAACCGTACAATAAAAAAAATATGTTTTGGATCAAAGACTGTTTTAATAAGATAGGGAAATTATAAACACAATTTAAATAGACTGAAATTTAAACAGATTACCTTGCCGTTTAGAATAACGAAAAATATGTACATGTAATAAAAAATTATTTTGGTAGCAATTAAATGAGAAATGTAGGTAATTAATTTTATCAATTATTAATTGTTTAATTCCATTTACTGAAATTTAAGGTGTAGATTTCTTATAATACAATAAGCTTCGGGACTACATTATTATTATTATTTTTAATTCTTGTTTGTTACTTCTTTGTTTGCTTTTAATCGTTGTGGGTAGTTTTATGACATTCAGAAATTTTTAAAATGGTATCTACATGATGACCTCTCACAAAGCTTTCCATAACTTGTCAGGATTTTCATACAACTGAACCGGGTCGAGCCCAAAAACTGAGTTTCCCTATACGAACATCTTTATTACCTGCAGAAACCCCTCTTTGAAGTAGGGAAAATTATTCACAATATTTATTGGACAAGCCCTGTACTTTACCACAGAAGGTAGACCATTTTCAAAATGGGTAAAACATGTTCAGTACCTACCAAAATAGATCCACAAAGCAAATTGCATGGGGAATTAGATATTCAAATTTAATCAATTTAAAATTTTCTTGTAAAAAGAAAACGAACACAAATTTTCAGAAGTGCATATATATGTATTTTTCGATTTTCATGCGGAAACAAACAAAAAATTTGTATCACACAAATACCTACCACCTATATAACATAAAACAAAAATACGCGTGTACATTATTACATAGAGACATAGACAATATACAATATACATACATATATTTATTATTCAAATTACAAGCGGAGAAAATGGTGTTGCACAATATTTTTTTTGAAAAGTGATTACATTATTTATATATAGGTACCTAACCTACTACTAATCGTAAATGCATGAAGATGCAGCAGGATTATCAACACTTCGTAAAAAAACAAACCCTAGTTATAGTTTTAACATATACAGCATGTTCATTTTTTCTTTTCTTCTTTTTCCTCCTTTTTGGCTTCAATAGGTCGACTTGGTTGACCGGTTTGTTGAATCGGAATGGGTTTCTCGTCCTTACCTCCCTCGGATTTTCGCGGTGCTGTAATTGTCAGGACACCATCAGAAGACAAACTAGATTGCACTTGGTCGACGTCATGATCGTCTGGAAGAACGTATCTCCTTACAAAGTGCCTGGAAATGAAACCATGTTCATCGGGTTTCTCTTCGTGTTTTCCTTCGATGGTAATCGTATGGCCAGACGATGTCACTTTGATCTCTTCGGGTTTAAAGTGTTGAACATCCAGACTAACTTGGAATTTATCTTTGTCCGATTGGATGAGGGAACCAGCGTCAGAAGCAGAAGATGGTGTTCGCCACGGTCTCAGGTATCCCGCAGGACTTCTAATTAGGCTTCTCTCAATTGGTAGGGTTAATGGTGCGAAAAGGTCCTCCGGAGTCAATCCAAGACCGAAATGCTGGTCCATAATGCGAGATGGACGGAAAGGATCAAACATCATTAACGACATATTGGATAATAAAAACTCACTGATCAATAATTATTCACAACGAAAAAACTTGTTGGAATGACTTTCGCTTTCTTGTTGTCAATTGTTGCTGAAGGGCGTCTGCGACCGTTTATATAGTCGGGTTAATGATAGCCGGCTGGCGGGGAATTTAATTCGCGAAAATTCTCGACGATTCTATACCCGTGCGCATCAAAAGCAGTAAACAATTCATGAGATATTATCACTTTGCTTTTTCCTATTAGATTGTCTGTGTATATGTTAACGGAAATGTGTGTACTCCGTCATTGTATGCTATTCCTAGGAAATGTATGTAATTCCTAAAATCGCCCGGAAATGTGTGAAATAAATTATATTAGACAGATTTCCTAGGAAATGTATACATTTCTTAAATAGTAATCGGAAATGTATTACATTCAAGATGGCAATGGGTACGCGGGGATAGCGGAGCGAGGGGAGGGTATTACGCCATCCGATAAGGCGATTTATTGTATTCACAGATAACTCTCATCCTCAGTTTACTAACGGGTTTTATTCAATTTATTCACAGAAAGCATTACTTTTATACATTTCCTAGTACAATATCGGAATTTTATACAATTCCTAGGAAATGTACACATTTATTGTATTAAAAAATCTTTGAAAGAATGTTTGGTAAATGTCTAGATGATGGCCCCCACCCCTGAGTAAATCCCCATAAAAAATTTGCGGCGGTCTCACCCCCATAAAAAGTTATGGGGGTTGAAAGTTGATTATTTTGACAATTTTCATACACTATAATTCAAATAAAATTCAATAAAAAAATTATTTTCAAGCGGGTGGAGGTGGGGGATCGAAAGAGGGTGGTCACTTGAACAAAACCCGATAACCTAACCTAACCTAACCTACCCTATTGATAAAGATATTTAAATAATGTTTTATATAACTTTCTCAATATTTTTATGTATTTTTCATTAGTTTTACCTTTGAATATTGTTTAAGAATGACTATATAAATATTTACATGCCCAAAATGTATAAAAATTGGCATATTTATTAACTTTGAACCCCTATAACTTTTTATGGGGGTGACACCGCCACGAACTTTTATGGTACAGTGGTGGGGGAGACCTCCTCCTTCGATCCCCCCCATCTAGACCGTTACCGAAAGTTTTATACATTTCCTAAATAGCGTCGGAATTGTATGTATTTCCTAGGAATTGTATATCATTCCTAGAGTTCTTACATTTCCGGTAACACATATACCAGGTATCAATTTTTTTTGTCACTTCAATTATCGTTCTTCATGAGGTGTATCTGCTGATTTTTAGAATTTTTGCGGTAAATTCCTGAAAATGTTTGTCCCTGCTACTCAAATCACTAAAACTAACTACTTTGACTTCGGAAGACATTTATAGTAATTTTTCTAATCCTAAATCCATATAATTATGGACACAAAAATAAAATAAATAAATAGTGCATGTACGAAGTATTAGGTTCCAACATTATTCGTAGCAAATTAGCAACAGAATATGGATTTTACATAAAACTTTTTGATGATTTCCTACTATTGGGCCTATACTTTGTTATAGTACTGTCAATTAGCATACACAGTACCTATATAGGTACGTTTTTTTTTTGGCACGGCAACAATTAATTTATTTTGTGATATGATTTCCAATAGCCCTTTTGTAGTTAAAAAAAAAGTTTAAAATATATCCACAGTGATTTTATACTTCGTAACTTTTACTCGTTACTAGATTGTGATAGAATGCCATTAAACGAATCTTCTTGATACGTTGGATTTACAATCATCAATTTGTGATCTTTTAAATGTTTTATATTTGTTTAACTACAACTTCTCCTTTAGTATAATTTGTTTTTTTGCATTAAAATATTTTTTTCAGTAACCTGTCAGCAATCTAGCGTTTTCGTGAATAACTTTATTCCATTTTGAAATAAAATAAAATCTTACTAATAAACGAACTTTATTACTTATTATTTGTACTTACAACATAAAGGAACGAATACGAAAATACATTAATTGTGCAACCTACATATAATGAACAATACAAATACCTAATACTAATAATAATAAGGTAACAAATACATAGAACTGGTGAAACCTGAGAAATGTTACAAATCAAAAATTCAGTCTGAAACAAATACAATTACTTATAAACCTGCTTATTTCTTCTGCTTATTTTCAATGGGTTTGCTGGGTTGTCCAGTTTGCTGAATTGGAATGCTTTTCTCTTCCTTGCCGTCCGAAGACTTCCTAGGCGCCGTGATGCTCAAAACTCCATCAGAAGAGAGGTTGGACTGCACTTGGTTCATGTCGTGCCCTTCTGGTAGAACATACCTCCTTACGAAATGCCTGGAGATGTAACCATGTTCGTCTGGCTTCTCTTCGTGTTTACCCTCGATGATCAGGGTGTTACCAGACGCTGTTACCTTAATTTCTTCTGGTTTGAAGTGCTGTACGTCCAAATTTACTTGGAACTTATCTTTGTCGGCTGTTACCACTGACCCGGTATCCCTAGCAGCGGATGGTGTCCTCCAGTGCCGTAGGTAACCAGCAGGGCACCTGAACAGACTTCTTTCCAAAGGCGCCAACAGATCTTCAGGATCTAAACCCAAACCAAACTGTTGGTCCAGGACGCGAGATGGTCTGAATGGATCCCACAACAATAGAGACATTTTTCGTGGATTCTTTAGTATCAACAATCAACTGCACTTAATAAAAATCGCTTTGAAGACTCGCTTTGTGTACGCTTTGGCAACTTCGCAGCTCGCAGTACTGTTTACGAATGACTGGCGGCAGGTCGGACGCGCTCGTTTATATACGTTGGATACGAATTTCCAGAGTGTTCGAGACAAAATCTGGACTACTCCAGGTGGTTCTACAATAAGTCGTTGAAATTTGGTCGTTTTTTTTTTGTATTGAAACTTTAAAAATTCATTTAGGTGCACATAATGTGTGTACCCCTTCTTATTTTGCATTGAGTATAAATAACATTACTGAAATAATAATTATATAGGTAAATATAATCAATAACACATACATACCTAATAGACTACTTATGTTTAGTAAATTACCCTTTAAGAAATATGTATTAGTACATATTTGAAAAATGCATTGTGCCATTTTCTCAGTTGCTAATAAGTAAAGTGATTTGTTTAAATAAACTAACACAATTTGTAAACTTTTCACATGTTTTTTTATTTAAACAACTATTTCGCTACACTATAACTTTACCAATTTTTTTGTGTATTACACAGTTTAAGAAACAATTGTCGTTTAAGAAGTTGTGAAAAGTTTGCAAATACATACTATAATTTTTAATCCATTAATACACATGAAAAAACTGAAATACTAAAATGAAGAAAAATATATAAGTGGAGTATCTACGTAAAATTAAATTTGATTGAAGATTAAAATAAAAATTCATGCGGAAATTAAACTATAAAATACAACAACCGATGAACGAATCGGTTAAATTGATGTGAAAAATAAAATATGGGCCTATACTGTAAATCTACATATTTGTACCTATTTACATTTGCATTAATCGATTATAAATTTAAAGATATACACCTATAAATAAAATAAAGAAAAAAATATAGGTATCTCGATAGTTATAACCATTTGGGTATGTAGCAATAACAGGAAATTTTGTAGGTAAATTAAT